CCCCAAAACCCCAAAACCCCAAAACCCCAAAACCCCTGTAATCATTTTGATAATTGAACAACACTTGATCCTATTAAAAATCAATTTTCTCTTGAAGCATCATCTTGATCTTTGTATTATTGGATATAGTCTTGGCATCTTGATTTTGTACCTTCGAGAGGCCATATTTTGATTTGAATTTCTGGAAGATTCTTTTTGACATCTGTTTCTTCTGGTCAGCATCCTCTATTACTGAGCCTAAAAGAATATTTTTAACTCTTACCATCATTTTTGATGAAGTTTTCTATGATCTCACGTCTATTAAAGTCCATGAATAGTAATGATGCAGGGTATTCCCCACCTTTGCTCTTTTCACATTTGATGAACAGAGTTTCTGCTTTGGGAGCCGAGGGAGCTTTCTTTTGAGTCCTGAACATTTAAACTGACTCTTACTCTTCTTCAGATGATACATCGTTGATGTACTTTGCTTCATCTTCTTTGGTATGAAATACCTTGTCTCTCTTGGTAGTCTTCAGATACATTTCATACAGGTTCTGGATACGGCCAATTTCCATATTAGACTAAAGCTCATGCTCCAAAGTTTACCTTTATTCTTCTGTGGGTTGGTCTCGTGTTATCAAAACTGCTGAAATTCTTCTCTCTAGAAGGATAAATTTCTATTGGTACTTCTCTATCTCTTTCTTGTTTACTAAAGGAATCTTGTCTGGGATTTGTCTAGCCTCAAAAGTTGTCCCAACATTGCCAGAATAAAAAGAGTTTTTATTTGAATGGTTATAACTATTATCGTTTGTCCTTCTTGAGCTACCTACATGTAAGTGCAATGCATTACTGATTATTTGTGGGTCAAATAAGGCGGGAGAGTTATAGTTATACGATCTGTTGCCTTTGGACTTCTCCCTCATACCCCATCTATCTCGAGGAACTTCACTATTCCGTTTGCAGACTCAGTATTTAGGGTCTTTAAAAATTATTCTAAAAGTTTCGAATTCTATGTGATTACCTTCTTTTAATGATATTATTTGTAAGCTTAGAGAGCGTGAAGCCTTCTATATCACCATTAAGCTTTCTTTAGCAGAATATTTACTTACGCTTGAACTTATTTGCACCTTCTACAGTAAGGGTTCTGGCTATTCTTCAAATGAACCATAGAAGAAATCGAAGAAATATCAGGGATCTTTGAGCGAGAGTTTGGAACGTTTGCTTGGCTATTTCAAACCAATATTTGTGAACGGATAAGTGGGGCTATTGTACTTCTTCCCTCCTGCCTTTTGGAACGATTTCATGAAAGAAGTGTTCCACTTGTTTGAGTTCTTCAGTTTGGGTTTTGTATTTGCAGCTACCAGAAATTTCAACAATAGTTCAGCCTACCCCTTGGCAGGTATTAGAATCATAAGAGGCAAAATATATTCATAAGTACTTACATGGAGACTTTAGATCTCTTTTGACCTTGTTAAAGTTTTTAAATAAGATATCATTGACTGACATTATCAACTAGAATATTTCTATTATATAAAATAATCTAGGGGTTTTGGGGTTTTGGGGTTTTGGGGTTTTGGGG